GGGGGGTGAGGCGCCTAGTTCACGTCAACTTTCCTGCTGAACCGTGGGTCGCTCGGCCGCACTGCACAGCGCCAGGGCAGCCCGCGCTGTCTGAAGGCATGGGATGGCACAGGAGAAAAGAGCAATGCTGAGGTAAAGTAGGCGCCGACAACTGTGTGGCTGCAGCAGGATACACCGTACAACATGTGCAACGGGTACAGAGTTTCGAGAGGTACGGTACGGCAGTACGGGTATACAGCATCACAACAGGGACACTCTGGGGAGTTGTGCAGTATTTTGGGGTACCGGTATTCCATAACCAGCTGCTCCCCTGCACCCCTCGCCAATCAGGCTCAACACTCCACCCTCGATTAACCCCTTCAATCCGACTGTAATAATCCCAAACCTGGCCCTCCCACCTGCACGTCCTGCCGTCCTGGTGAGGGGCGGTACACACTGCTAACTGGGGCCGTATCGTCAGCTGCTGCAGTAAAAGCAGGCCAATTAAATTCAGCTCCTCCCGACACCCTTACCAGCTTCGCACGCATACCTACGAGGGCAAACGGAAGCAGTATGAAGGTGGTGTATAACTATTGGAGGCAAGGCGAGCCAACATGAGTCGACGGCCAAGCCATTGCTATTGCCTGCACCAACGGACGCCCTAACGCCACGTTCCTAAAATCCTTGTACCGCTTTTGGGCGCCTGTAATGGCACCTTGAGTGGCACGCGATGAGGCGGGTTCAGTGGCAGTAAAGTGTAGAAGCTAGGAACTTCAGCTGCTTTGATGACGTGTTGCCAGCCAGCAAACATTTCCCATGTTTACTAAGCTGTCCCTAATGCAGATCCGGACGCATCAGCTTTCGTTATATGTGTGCGGTGCGTTCAGGTACGGTTACCGTTACCGGTCACAGGGCGGGCAAGTAATCCTATGCTTACTGGGCCTGTGTAACCACAGCCTCAGATAGGTATCCTATTCTTACTTTTCTAAGGTGTACACGCTCGCTTACAATCGCTCCCATTCATCTGGACGACAGAAGCCATCTCCCTAGCGAGAATGGTCATTGTGTTTGCCTAAGACCTTTTACAAGCTACGAGGACAGGATGTCAAAGAAATCTCGGAAGGCTCGGCGGAAAGGTGAACCCCAAAGTGAGGATGCTCGGCCCTCCAAGCGGCGACGGACTTCAGATAAGCATGAAGTGAAAACCAGCAACAAAAAGCGGCGCGCGGATTCGACTGGTGGGCTTAAAGAGGCCCCTGCAAAGCCCGATGGGACCTCCCTTGGCGCGACCACGCTTGCCGAGCGGCCGCATGACCCCAACAGCGTGTTATCCAAAGTCGTTGCGCTCGCTATTGAGGTCGTGCTGGAGAACGCGAAGCGGGCTGCGCCAGTGCTGCAGCGCCTAGCAGCTTTACCCAAGGCGAATGAGCAAGCAGCAGAAGCAGCGTCTGGCGGGCAGTCCATGGCCGACTACCTAGCTGCGGCAATCGAGCGGGACAGCTTCATCAGCTGGCGGCCCGAAGACACCAAGGTCAGGCCCCAACAAGGCTAAGCGGGCTAGCAAGGCTTCCTGAGCAAGCCCAGAAGAGGTTTCCTAGAGCTGCTGTTCAGCCAGGCTTGCTTCCCTGGCTGCTGCCAGCTGCCACACGACTCACTCCCGCAGTTTGGTCCCTCCTTCTTTCCCCCACTCCTGAGCGCCGACGGCCAGGCAGTGCTTCTAGACCTCGTTTCTATTCTTATGCGCTCGTGACACCCACGCTAGTTGAATTCCCCTACCACCTCGATCCCTCCCCAGCCCGCCACGATGGCATCTTGTCACACAATGGCTAGCTGTTTCCCCTCCCCCGCCCCTATTCCCCAGGTGCTTGCGGACTACCTGGCCAGCCTGTCCCCCAACAGCACCCTCCGCATCAAACCCGCCATGGAGCAGCTGGGTGGGTGGGGGGTTATGGGGGGTGAGAGGGTGGGGTGGAGGGGGCCGGCAGCTGCCTGCCAGCCTGCGCACACACCCTGCCTTTGTGGAGGACCGGGCTGCCCCCACACCGTTCCAAACCCTGCTGCTGCGGTGTAGTGGGGTTTCCCTCATGTGTCTACCAGGGACCTCCTCCTGTGCCTACCAGGGTTTGAGTGGCTACGCCTGCCTGGGGCATATCGCCGGGGAACAGCTCCAGAGTGTGCACTATGAGCACAGATGCGCGTTGGTGGCGGCTTACCGCTGCTGAGGAGCTCCAGGCAGCACCCGCAAGCAAGCACGCAAGCGGTGGTCGGCAGCTCCGGCATGCGTGCGTGTGCGTGTGTGTGTTTCGAAGCCTAGGACCTCCGCTGCCCCTCACCACCCCCCCGTAGCTCCCCTCGCCCCTCCCGTAGGTCTCCCGCCCCATCCCCCACCATTCTCCTTCGCTCCCTCGCTCCCTACCTACCCCCCAGTCATGCGTCCGGACATGGGGCTGTGCTGCACTTCTCATTTACTTTTGTTTCCTCTCCTTCCTCCCCAGGCCTGTCCCATATTCCCGACCCGGGTCGGCGGCTGCAGCAGACGCTGACTGCCAAGCTGCATTTGATGAAGAGCAAGATGGCGCGGGGGGAGGACCCCACGCAGGGTGGGTAAAGGGGAAACGACTAGCCAACCGTGTGATAAGGCGTCATCATGCACGGGGGGGTGGCGTGAGGGAGGTTAACGTATGGGTGAAGAGGACGAACTGGGCTGACAACGGCTCTGGGGGTGGGCCGAGGAGGTAGGTAAGAGGGACCTCACAGGCTCCCTCATCACAGGCTCCCGCATAGGCCAATAGCAGGCCAGGATACCCTAGTTAGACACCTGGGCCAGGGTGCAGGCAGTGGCAGCGGACACCCTCCGCCACCTTTCTACTCCTCTTCTCCCCACTCCCCACAATCGACACACATCTGGTATTCTTCTTTTCCTCTCCCCTCCCCACCCCAACATGCCTCTCCCCTCCCCACCCCAACATGCCGGGCAGTCAACACCAGCAGAACCGTCAGGGGGACCTACGATTTCCAGGTGGGCAGGAGGTTGTGTGTGTGTGTGTGTTAAGAAAACTGGCCGATAGTCGGTTGTGTGTTTTGGGAGGGGGGATTAGACCATACCACACACCCTTTGCTGCGCTTGTACTAATACCCGTACACACCCCTTGGCCAGTTATTTTAACACACCCCTTGTGGCGTTTTCGGTGGGAGGACTCCATCTTTCGGCAATCACAGTACGTTTCGCCTCGCGGCCAGTTATTTTAACACACCCCTTGTACGTTGTACATCGTATATTCTTTGCTTTCCAGAGCTGGGTGCGGCGCGCCCTGCTGGCGATGCCCAACCACGAGGTGAGGTGGAGGGTGTGTTTGTTGCTCGTGCCTCTTTGCTTCTGCAGCTACCACTCGGGGAGCCCCGCTGCAGCGTGCGGCCGCGTGGTAACCTTTTGTCGCCGAGTGCTCTGTCTGCGGTCTATCTCTGTGCGTTGTCGTACTGACACCCACACATCAGGCGCTCTTCTTCCCGCGGTCCTTGAGAAGCCTGACCTGATCACTTTTTTCACCTCCCCTGCGCAGGGCACCATGCGCGAGGTGGCGGCGGCGCTGGAGGCGGATCCCAACATCTCATGCAAGCTGGACAAGAGGTGGGCGTCCTCAGCTGTCCTGTTTAGGAACCTCAGCCAACCTCAGCAAAGTTATCCACCCAGTTAGTCGGGGCGGATATGCTCCCCTGCAACCGAAGTCACAGCAACATGTTTTGTAGCCAGAAAGGCTAAGCGCTTGTGCCGAGTAGTGTTAACCCTCACGCTCCTGAATCCCCTCCGTCTGCCCCTGAGAACCGCGCAGGCCCAACCCGAAGTGCCCCAACACCCCCATATGGTGGCTGAATCTGCGGTGCGCGGTGATGAGGTGATTTGCTGGTGACGCATGGGGGGGGCTGTGAATCCAGGAGATGGGTGCTGGCGGGTAAGAAGAGCGGAACTAGGAAAGAATCAAGGGGAGACACTGACGAAGCAGCGGGACGGGGGAGGGGGACGGGGTTAATACGGATGAAGGTTCCGCATTAGGCTGGATTTTACAATTGCGCATAGTCAAACTTATTGGGTTAGAAGCAGCACACAAAGGGGGAAGGGGAGGGGAGGTGGGCGCGGGTTGGCGCACCGGTTTGGCCTTCCGGGGGTTGGAACTGCTGGTGTTGGTTTGTTGGGTAGCGAGGTGGGGAGGTCGTGTGACAGGTTCCAGGGAAAGGGCACGTTGATTGAGCGCACGCCATTTTCACAGCAACAAGAAGTGCAGCAACAAGAAGTGCGGCTTCCGGGTGGCGCCCGGGTTGTCCCCGGGTGGCCCCATCAAGACGACTCCTGGCACATGGTGTGGCGCACATGGCATTCGGCGTTCCGTATGTGACGGTGTTCATGCACTGCCCCCCCCCTTTCGCCTCCTACCCCCATTGCTTTGCCCTAACCTGTGGTTTCCTATGGTTCGGTATGGTCTTTGACCCCCCCGCCCCCTCCCGGCAGGTACCCGGAGTTCATCAGGACGGACGCCAAGCGGGCAGGCCACGCCGTGTACCGCTACGAGCCGGAGAAGGAGCGGAAGGGCGATGCCAAGCGGACGGAGCGGAGGCCGGAGTGGGCAGGTGCGGGGAGGAGGGTGAAAACATATAGTGACACAGGGTGGCGAGGCTTGGTCGGGGAGCCTGGGTTGGGGTGAGAGGTTGGCAGGGGTGCGGGGGTTAGGTAAACTGAGCCGCGGAAACACTGACCCTGACCGTAGTATACCGGAGGATGATGGCGTGAGGAGGTTGGGGTGGGTGCACGGGATGCCAGCAGTACTTGATTCCTGAAGCCCCCGACTCCTCCCTTTTCGTCTCTTCGCTCCGCTTGTCATTCATATGCGGGCTTATGTCTGCAACGGGAACGCCGTACTAAAGAAACTTGTCGCAAACTGTAACAACGGGCAGCAACACGGCGTAAGTTTGAATTCTTCAACAAGGCAAAGTTACTCTTTCCTACCTACGGCATAAAGGGACCCTGACACGACTCTCTGAGCGGCCAGACCGCATGCGAAGCACCTAGTTAACGATCCTCCATTCCATAACTATCTTAGGTAACATCGACATGTCGCATTCAAAACTTCCAAGCTCGACGGGGGTCCCTAAGCCACCGCATAGCCCAGCGACAATTGAGAAAAAAGAACTTGCGAAGAGCCGGTTCTTGCGCTTTGTGGATGTAAACTATCACGGGCCCATAGACAACGCGAAGGTTAGGAAGCCACTTCCGGGCTTCTCCTGGCCAGCGAGCCATGTTGGTGCTAACTTAACGTTCCCCACATAGGCAAGTTGGCAGTACGTGGAGCGGACGACACGTAGAGGCGACGTGGACGGTAAGATCGCCCTTTGGGTTCTCTAACTCTTCAGGCATCCACCTCTTACCCGCCTGGTTCTCCCTTCACCCCTCCTCCAGCTGTCAACGTGTTTGCAATCTTAAAGCATAAGGACGGCAACCACCAAGTGCTGGTAGTCAAGCAATACCGTCCACCTCTCGAAAAGTACACCATTGAGCTGCCCGCGGGTAAGGCAACCGGGTCACAGCATGGTAGACGGGTGCCCAAGTGGCGCAACGGGCTGCTGCAAGCTGCTAACCCGCATCACCCCAATCCCTGTGATGTCTCTGCCAGGTCTCGTGGACCAGGGCGAGGCGCCGGAGGTGGGTCAGCGAACTGGGTTGGGCTGCCGCATGCGAATTTAAACCCTTACTTGACTTGCTTTGTCGTACATAGGATGGTATTGCTCGCATGCAGTTGCTATAGCTATATGGGGGCCATGACGTAATGACCGTGATGACACGAAGTCCCCCATAGATTCCCACCACGCCGCTTCCGCACCCACGGGTTCGCTTGCACGGTGTCATCTGTACGGCACATGCAGATCGCCGCGCTTCGAGAGCTCAAGGAGGAGACGGGCTACGTGGGGAAGCTCATCGGCCAGACGGGCCGGCAGTTCCTCAGCCCAGGCCTCACGAACGAGAACATGGTGGGTCGGTTACCGGGTGCGTGTTACAGGGTGTTCCCACTTCCCAGGCCAGGTCAGGGTGTGGCAGTCGGGAGCTTCTTCGCCTGCTCAAGCCAAATACGGATAGCAGGGTGCGGGGCTGACGAGCTGGAACTGCGGATAGTTTGGCAGGAAACAAGCATGTGTTTGCGGTGGTAGTGGGAGGAAAGCATGGCCGTGAGGGTTCTCAACGCACAGCCAACGCGGGGGTGCCATAGTGGAGATCCGGGTGGGGTGCCATCTATTTATGTGCGAGAGGCATTGCGTGTGTCTTCAGTATGCCCTCGGGTGTTTGCCATTGTCACTACATTTTACCGTTCCCTGCCTCTCCCTGTGCTCTCGCCTGCTGCTGCTGCTGCGCTATGGCCGCCACGACCCTTCGGTGGCTAGGTCACGATCTTTGCTGAGGTGAGTGGCCTGAATCCTTCGGTCACAGGGCAAAGCTTGGGTAGGAGCGTGAGGGTTCGTTTGAAGGCTGCAAATAGATATTGACACAACTGTCCGTCCAGATCTGTCCCAGATTTAATCTAGACTGCCGGAACTTTACCCAACCCTGCACCCCATGATCTCCCCGTTGCTCCACTCGCCAGATTGACACGGAGGCCCCCGAGAACCAGCACCCCACCCCCAGCAGCGCGGACCGCAAGCTGGGCATCACCAAGGAGTGGCTGCCGCTCAAGAACCTGCACCAGACGCTAGCACAGTATGAGGCGCAGGGCTGGGGCGTGTTTGCAGGTGTGTGCAATCAACTGGCACGGGGTTTGATTGAGATAGGAAGCGCTGTCACAGCAGGTAGTCACGGTGTTAAAATAACTGGCCGCGAGGCGAAACGTACTGTGATTGCCGAAAGATGGGTGTCTGGGTTGCTGGGGATCTTCGGGTGTTACGATCTGCAGTGCGTGTGTGGATGGTTCGTGGTCTGAGCCGTTGCTGAGGGGTTTGGCGGAGGACACAAAAAGTGCCTATTGAGCTATCGGCGCAAGTGCCTTGCCGCATGCTGCATCATGGGATGCCCTGGGCACTCGGCTACACACGGTACAGGCGCAGCGGGAGCCGCACACTGGCGCCTTTCTGCGCAGAGCCTCCACCAGCTACCGCCACACCACCCTAGCCCACACGGCCCAAGCACCGAAAGATTTGCCTGCCAACCCCTCGTCCCGCTGACACTCATCCACTCCACACCTAATGTGCAGGCTTAGCTAGCTCTCATACCACGGTACTCACTACATCGTCTTACTGGTGTTTTCCCCTCTCCCTTTGCCCGCCTTTCCGCCGGTTGTGTGTTCTCAGGCTTGTACGCAATCGCGCACGGACTCTACGTCAAGGAGCACATGGGGTTGTAAGCACGTATCTGCCGCCGCGCCTGTCTGCCGTTTGCGGCTCACGACGGCGCAGGACCCATTTCACTGAAGCAGCAGTTGGGCAGCAGTGTTGGTAATGATGAGGGGAGCGCTATCGCGCCTCGGATTGCGTATTGTAGTCATGCACATGGACTAGGAGGCAGGGTTCGATCATGCTACAGACCCTGTGCAACAGTGTGGCGTCGGTGTGTCTCGTTTGTGTTGGGGAATCTAGACGTGTTTCGGAGCCGTGTGCGACCGCATAAATTGCCCTGGAATGGGCATTTGGTAGCTGACAACAGTAACAATGCTGTCGACTGGACGGCCATAGTATGAGTAGGGATGGCTCGTGCCGCTTTGCATGTGCGTGGTAATCTGCAATGGCATTTGTGGTATTGTTACTAGGAGGGGTTGGTCGGGCGCCAACTCCCGCTCCTTGCTGGGCAGGCTTCTGTTGTAGGATGACACAGGACAGATGAACGAAGATCTGCCCTACCATGACACTGTATATGTTCCTTCGCAAGGCCACCCTACGAGTTCTGCCTTGTAATATGTTGGACGTCTAACGGTTGGGTTATGAAAACCTGCCGCGGTGCGACGCATAAAAAGCTCCCACCGTGCAAACTTGGTGCTCGCCTATCTGACCATCTACCCGTGATCAGTTTACAGAAGTCACGCATTAGCGCAGCTAGCAGGCACTGGCACACGAGGGATCCGGGTGAGATCCAACCGTAAATATGGAAAGCGCCCCGACGAATCGTTATATACCGTACTGTACATGATTGTGTTTCCCCGCAATGCGTAACGGACCCTTCCTTACGGCACGTTGGGTTTCCAACAGCCTGAAAACCGTTGCCACCACCTCCCTTACTCCGCCTAGCAAGGCCCCAGGAGCCCCCTGGGCGGCCGCATCAGTAACGGCTCCTGTTGCTGCCGCTGCCAAGTGGAACCACCTAGCAAGGAGGCTTCCACAGGCCCCATCGTCGCCTTTCCTGCCTCCACTCCCAACCCTAGGCCATCCCATAACTCTGCTGCCCCCGCTGACTGCCATGATCCCGGTAAGAAGCATCCCGGTAGCGAAAGCCACGGCGGCAGCGGCGCTGTCGCTGCTGCCGAGGGCGCTCCACTCGCCACCGGTATCATGCAGATGTCAGTGGGCCGGTGCACGGACGACCGACGCCGTGCTCCGCCCCCTCCCTCGAAGGCCTCACCGGGCAGGGAGTACCGCACCTGGGACCTGCGGGCCGGCAGCACCGTCGCTGCTGCTGCCGACGTTGCCGCAGTAGCGGACAGCGTGGGTCGTACCAGTTGGTTCCCGCCGCTGTCGCTGGCGCCTGCCGCGTTGCTAACGGCCCCGCTGCTGCTCCTCGCCCTCCTCGTTCCGCCGCTGCCAACACCGCTTGAGGCAGCAACCCCGCCAGCGCCACCGCTGGCACTAACAGCTCGTCCCCTTGAGACCCCAAAGCAAGAGCTCTCGTCACCGCTGCAGCTGCCATTCCAACTGCCGCCTGCTTCAGCCCTGTTTGGCAGCCGCAGCCTCAGCCGCTCCTGCGCTGCTCCCTGACGCCCGCAGCCTGCGCGCGTGCTGCCAGGTAAGCTCGCTTCACGTGTTCCTTCCTTTCCTGCCTCCAAGCATGTGATCGGGATGTTGCTACCCAACACAGCACCAGTGGCGACGACCTCAACAGCAGCACCGTCCACACGGCCGCCTCCTCCGCCGCCGCTGCTGCTGCTCACGCTGGGCTGTCCACCCCGAGCAGGCTCCACATGCTCTGGGCCCCGTCAAGACGGCTGCGTGGGCGGCAGCTGCACGTGCAGGAGGGAGTTGTTGGACAGCAGGCCCGACATGGCTGCGTTCCAGGGGAGCTCTTGCGGGGATTTGTGCTGCTGTTGTTGTTGCTGCTGCGGTTGCTGCTGTTGTGGCACTTGCGGCTGTTGAGGCAGCTGCAGTTGCGATTGGGCAGGCTGTGTTTCCTGTTGTTGTTGTTGTTGTTGCGGTGGTGACGGGAGGGGCAGCGGCATCTGCCCGGGCACGTACTCCTGCAGGTTGAGCTCCTGGGCCACTGCAACAGCCGTGTCGAAGTCACCTGAGGGGGGGGTGTTACGAGGTATGTGAGACCTGGTAACGCGCGCAACTGGCTGTTGGGTGAGACATGGCGCGAGGGCGCGGTGGAGTGGTGCTGGGTGCAGCAAACCCATAAGCCGGCAAACACGAAACAGCAACGCTCATGCTACGTTGCAACGGGATCATGGAAGATCGCGGTTGCAGGCGCGTCACTTACTTTGCATGAACATGACGACCCACACCTCCTGGACTGGCGGCTTGGCGTCCTTGAGGACGGTGAAGGAGGTCTGGGGCAGCCGGCAATGCACGGCGGTTTGCCAGGGAAGGTTCAGGGATGTCTAAACGAGGTGAGCGCGCCTCATCACCATTGCCATAACCCACAAGCAGTTCGTCAGGGCAGCAGCTTACCAGCGCTTGGATCTAACGGATTGTACACATTGTAACCGTCATTCATGGATTGCATGCGTGCTGCTGTCAATTGTGGCAGATGAAGAGTGGCTCAGCCCTCCGCCCTCCAGCCCTCCATGCTGCTCACCTTCGTTGCCTCTCGGATGGGGTAGGCATACACGCCGGTCGAGATGGCTGCGAATGCAACGACCTTGGTCCCCAGCTTGGTTGCAGCCTGGAGCGAGTGTCTGTACGCGTTGGTCAGGTACCCCTCGCATTCCGCCCTCTTATCGGTGGCATACACCGGGCCGCATGTGTGGATGATGTAGTCGGTGCCGAACTTGTAGCCGCTGGGGATGGATTGGAGGAAAGGGAAAGACGATGATAATCACGCTCCTAGGTTTCAATGGCCACAGAGGCAAAGAGGAATCTGTGAGAAGGTTTGTGCGTCTGGTCCGAAGAGCTTAATCATGCCCAGGGACGTTCTGGGCGTCTTTGTTCCCTTCGAACCATGTTCTATCAGTCAGCCCGCTCTACCCGGTGACGACAGCCTCCCCGGTAGGACAGCGAATCCCCGGCCGGATTTCTGGCAAACTTTGGCACTCTTGAAGGAGCTCCGGCCCGGCTTTCTTGTGTATCACTGCGGCGACGGCCGACCTATGTGTGATTCCGGCATATGCAACAGCCTTGTGTGCCAACCCTTAACTTACTCCCATCAACACCACCCCCTCCGCAAAGCCTCTGGTTAGCTGCGGGTGTGATAGGCAAGTGAGTTTAACTTGTAGTATGGTGACAAGTTTACGAGCTGTCATCCTCCCAGCAACACCACTCACCAGCATTGACTACCGCGATGGGTCGTATCCGGTCTGCGTCTGGTCTATCCAATTGCATTTTTGGCCAGTCGGGCATGCTGCCTTGGAACACTATGAGCCTTGTTCCAGAAGCAAGCAAGTACTCCCTTCGCCCAACAGCAGGAGGTGTATTGTTTGTCATTGTTTTGCAGCGCTTTCAAGTTGTATCGTTGTAAAGTAAAGATCGGCTAGAAACGTAATACTTGCTTACATGCATACCGACATCGAAGTTTGGAGACTGTTGCGAAAGCGGTGATCTTTTTACATATTGTTGGACATCAGCACATGAAACGAAGGGATTGCGCAAGAGGGTTTGTAGCATGGGTGCCGCTGCCCCCTTGCCAGGTCCAGGTCCGGAGCGACCTAGGCGTACGGCATCATTTTTACTTTTTCCTTCATTCTAGTCTTCTTGCAATTATTGACTGTGTCTTCCTACATGCCAGGTGAATGGGCGCTTGAATCAGCCTCGCCCACTTGGAAGTCCGCTTGCAAGTCTGTCAGCGCATTTCCCCAGCAAAAGACGCATGTCGCATGTACCGTTATGGTAGCAATGTTTTGTAAGCAAGACCTGAGTAGCTAAGTTAGTTTATTAGGTGAAAGAGCCGTCATACCAGTCCAAGGCTATTTACATGTCATAGGGATACCGGGCAGATTTAGTAAACAATAGGTCCATGGCAAGCGAAGATGGCGATAGTATGTCCTCTGACTACGCTTCCGACTACCACAGTGACGATGATGACGCATATAAAGATGCCGCTGAAGGTTTCGAGGACGACCTATCACTCACCGAGGAAGTACCATCAGAAGACGCCGAAGATGCCGGCGAGAGGGATATGATGGAGTTGGGGCAGGCTGCAGCTGATGGGGACACATACCCCTTCAATGACGTAGGCGTCTTCGTGAGTATCGCTCCGCCATACGGTTTCCCTCATGCTTTACTTTCCCTGTCTGTGATTCCAACTGCACTCCCACTGGGTATTTTCTTCTTTCTTCTTTAACTAAGGCTCGTACTTCTGTGCTGTGCATAGCCTTCCGTCCCCCATTCCTGTAAGCGCCATTCCCCTACCGCATTTCCCCATGCGTTTACTTAAGCGGACACCGTGGCTAACGTCATGCACCTCTGTGCCGTAGGAGGTTGATGATTTGGATGACGAGGACACTCCAGGCAACTTACCGGTAGATGCTGCGTGTATGCAGGCTACCATGTGTCAACAGAAGCTGCAGCACTTATGCCCCGTAACCTTCTTTGGCAAGCAAACCGCACGCTTGCTTTGTATGTGCGCAGGATACCTCTCGCGGGCACAAGGATGGGTCACCTGTCGGTGAAATGGCTGGTCGGTTTTTGGTCCTTTGCACTTCAGAGGGCCTCCACCCCTGCCTTGAAGCCCCCCCCCCAAGCCACCACGTGGGAAAACCGACCATTGCCTTTTGCCCTGAAACTTAGGGAATGGTTCCTGTTAGGTAACACAAAGTTGGGGTTAAATGGCCTGGGTGCAAAGGCACCGGCCACTGGGAGGGGCGGGCAAGCACCTGCAAATGTGGGGAAACATGTAGTGAACAGGGGTACGGAAGATGGTGAAAACCCCTCTCCCAGCGGCAAGGGCAGGCGCGCTGAGCGGCATCGTGACGCCGTCGCCAACAGAAGCCAGCCTTCCATTAAACAGAGACGGCGCCTGAATTGAGTGCTCGGTTCGATACACCTCTCCGGAAGCGAGCACATGCATCACGCCACGCATGCCATGCGTGCGGAACCATGGCGCAGAGCAAACAGAGTACAGGGGTCTTGCCTGCTGAGTAAATGCGTTGTCCAGGTTATAGACATTTTCCTTGCTGTCAGTGAATGGGGAAGCCATCTGAGCTTTGCTGGATGGGGAGGGCTGACGACGCGGTCGCAAGCGCGCAACAATAGTGGTTTGTGCCGAAATGACACCAATCACTTCCAATAATTATTGGGCAGCTAAGCAAAGAAAGCTGAAGAAAGCGGGAATCCTTATGGCGGGTGTAGTACGCCTAGGTCGCTCCGGACCTGGGGGTAACGGTGGTCATCTTGCCACGGTGGCTCGCACGCATTATTTTTTAGGTCGCAACCTTACTCGAACGATGTTTCATAGCATGCTTTCGAGCACAACACACTCTATGGGGCCCTGTACGACTTCAGACTCCCGTCGGGGGTACGAGCACTCTTGCCGCCGACATATTTAGGAACCAGGGTGCGGTAAGCAAGTAAGTGAGAGTGCAGCCAGACTAGTAAGCGAAGCGCTTTGCTTCGTGGCGTACATATGGATGCCATATTATCGGAAGTGATCGACGTGTTTGGAGCTGCGGTTAAAACGCGCTTTGGATTGGGGCCATCTCTGCCTGGTACTGTCATCTATGAAGTAGCGGAAGGTAATGCCAACCATGGACCGGACAGTTTGCGGGGGCAGAGCGTTGAAGATTCTACATTAGCGGTGGCGGTGCAAAACCTAGAAGCTTCAGCGGATTTCAAGAAGGCACATGCGGAGGTGGGTTGCAGCGTATATCCTGTGGGACGTTCCTAACCAGGCGGCCAAACTCATATGCGGCTGCCTGCACAGGATGCTGGGTTTTCGCTGCTACACTGCGCTGCCTTGTTGGGGCAAACGACGCTGGAGAATGCCAGAAAGATCGACGCAGACAAGGAAGGCGCCGTTAGGCCCCTGTTCGCAACGACAGCAAGGTGTGTGCCCCCCGCCCGCTGTGAAACACCATATGTCGCCAGGGAAGTAGTAAGGAAACCGGTGGGCCCAAAGCTACACCCTCATAACCGTGCACTTATCTATACGCAGGGGCTTGATATATTTATACAGTGGCAGCATAAGGGAGATCGAGGACAAGGTGAATTAGCAGCAGCTTTCCTTACCAACGTGCACCTGATTTCCGCTAGTAGGAAGCAATTTACAATAAGGGGGTGCGGATTTGGAGTCGTATTTTCAGTGACTCCTTGGCAGGGACGGTGCAGCTGACACGGCGGCGGCCTGTTGCCCTGCTGCCGAACACCTACCTGCTTATGCAGTACGGACGCCTCCCGTTGCATTTGGCGGCCGCCTATGGCAACGAGGAGATGGTAGGGGTGCTGCTGGATCCGTACCAAATGAGGAGCCGTGGGGAACTATGGCCTCACATAAACCACCAAGACAAACAGGTGTGTTGGGTCTCCTTAAGCCAGTTGCCAGTCAGCTTGCCAAGGGGACCAAGTAGGAGACCAAGGTCAGAGGCAGGAGGAGGGGACCACGAAGCACTAGGCTGGGGATGAGCTTTTTCTTCCAATTTGCCGAGATAGGACGGGAAGAGAAGAAAGAGCACCTAGGGACTCCGGCATGGATAGTATCTTTCAGCTGGGGAAAGCTCACGTGTGCCAGTAAAAGAGATCACGGTTGCATGCATGGATTGCAAGCTTTTTTGACTGGGCGATGTGACAGAAGCCTTGTGTTAAAATAACTGGCCGCGAGTAGGAACATACTGGGATGTCGGAAGATGAAGTCCCCACAGAACCGCCGCAGGAGCCGAGGAATAGGGTAGCGTATGTACATATGTTTGGCTATTTGTAAGGCATCCCCTTACCTGTGCCTCCTCCTTATGGCATGCATTTCCCCTATCTTAGCCAACCCCAGGTCAGCATCTACAAAAACGGGTGTTGGCTTCACAAACAAGGAGTGTCATTCCATATGGTGTCCATCGAGCATGTTTTCGCATGCCTCATCAGTGCAGTGCTCATCGTGCGGTCCTATCTGTAGCTCTAGCAGAGGGCTACACCCTTTTTCCAGCTTTTCAAAAAGCTGGCACCAAATGTTTGCTGCCGTGGGTACCGGAACACTACTGGTTGCAGCAATTGGGGAGATGGACTTTCTAATCTTACACGTCTGCGGAGGTCCTTAACTTGTTCCCTATTGAGGCCCATGCGTGAGGCGTAAAGGCAGCTAGGACCTGGTGCCATTCTGGCAACGGTGTTCCTCACTGGCTGGCAGCTAGATAAGGCGCAAGCGCATATGCATGCCCGCCAGCGCCTCCACTTCCCTATGTATGTTGCGTGCACATAACCCCACCCTGCATGCAGGGATTCACGGCCCTGCATTACGCTGTGGAGCAAGGGTACCATGACGTCGCCATCATGCTGCTGTGCAACGGAGCCGACCCACAGAATTTGGACCTTGAGTCAAGGAACGCCTTCCAGGTGCTGTCATGCGGGCTGCAATACTACTGTGCCATCCCATGCATACCACACATGAGTAGTATAGCTTGCCTGCTCCTGCACCTAGCCATGCCCCTAGCGAGGGTACTTTATAAGGCATGCCAAGCAACCACACTTGATTGCAGGTGTGCGTGTCCTTGGATCGCGGGGTAGAGCATAAGGGGATGTCATCCTGATGCCACGGTGCTGGCAAGCTTGTTAACCGGTTCCTTACCCTTTGGTTGCAACCCCTTTAGCAAGCATTAGCAGCTCATCCAGTCCATTGCTTTCTATGACGTTTCCCACATTTTCTCCTCTTCCTTCCTTTGTTGCTGTTGCAACGGCAGATGGCTCCCTCCCTGACTTCAATGCAAGGGTTGCTGACAAAGGCCGTGGATAGGGTCGTGGAAGTTACGGAGGAAGCATCGAACACTAAACCTGTGCCGGTAAGTAGTTCTAACTGGGGGCAGTGTAGGCGCTTCCTTGAAAGCTGTCTCCACGGTTAGCTATGTAACAACGCGGCGAGCTTGGAGTAGCAGGGGCGCGGAGCTTATCGGGATTGGTGCACCTCCCGGTCAGAGTGAGCGTCCAGGTATCATATCCCATGACCCATCTACGGAGTGTCGCTGTCTAACAATCAGCCTTCCTCCGGCTTGTGTGCGTCTCACAGGTGCTCGCCATTGTTCAGCTTATGATTGAGGTAACCAAGCGGCAGGAGCAGGAAGAGTACAGCAATAAGGTTGCAGCTCCGGCGAACCTGGCTCCCGGAGATCACACAGCAGATGTGGTGAGCCCGGCTCCTGCAGAATATGTCGGGGCTGCAGCTGTGGTGAATTTGGCTCCTGCAGGATATACAGCGGCTGTACCTAAGGTGACGTCTCCAGTGCATCCTGCTGGCAAGGAGGACAAGGAGGCACCTGCAGCATCCCCACCCGAAGAAGCCCCACCTTTTGAGGCGGGCGAGGAGGTTGGAGACAGCATCAAGCGCATCTTCAAGAACCTGTACGACAAGGTAAATTAGTGCGTTAGTGACAGGCGAACGGCATGTGGCTGTTACAATTGTATGGGGCAAGGTGGTTTGACAGTAACCTTCCCAGGTTGGGGTCCGACGTGGGCGTTATTTGTTTACTTATGGAAGTGAAGGTGAAGCCCTGGGCTTGGGATAGGGCTGAATGTCATTGCAGGCTTTTATATGTGTGTGCAACCGCAAAGGTGCTTCCATACCTCTATAGGTAGGTCAGCCGCCTCTGATGCTTTCGACACAGAAGCTGTTCTGCGGTTTGAAGGTCCTTGACGCCCACTCCTTAACGCCCCTGGACCCATTGCCTGGACCAACCCACTCAGCCTCTGCTGTGCGTACACCCCCCCCCCCCATGACCCCGAGGTTTAACCCTCCCTGCCTGCTGCCTTACTTCTCTTCCTACCAGCTATCCTACCAGTAGATTTCGTTTGATTAAAGAAAAATACTACTCCCATTCCCCTGCCGTACTGCTTCCATAGAAATACTTCTGTGAGCTCTGGAAATACGTGCTGAAGGCGGTTAGAAGTGACAGTTATAAGCTGACCGCTATAATGCTGGACCTCATCTGCAAGGAGTACCCCAGGATGCTGGTGCACGTATCCGGGGCCTCCATGACCCACCTCATTTGCCACTTCCCCGACTTCTTCCACACACTGCTGTACAAGTTGCAGGTATGGTAGGCGTGGTGGGTCAATGACGTGGGCAGTAATCCACATCACCAGGCCTGCTAAGAGGAGATAATGAGGGAATTGAGGGAATTGAAAAACGTGACTGGGTTACGCTTATCCACAAGCTAAGGCCACAATTGCTGCAATACATGTCGAGGTTGTGTAACAACAATTACTCTAGGGCTGAGGTTTAGCAAAGTGTCCTGCCTGGGCTCCTGGTGGTAGGTCCTAAGCGTCTATTAAACGAATCCCGAGGTGCAGTAGCCATCATACTTCTGTATGTGCCCTCCTTTGGCAAGGATGTTGCCTGCTTGAAGGGGATGATGAGGAAATGTGTGAGGACCGCTCCACCACCCGACAATGTCAACCGACCCCACACCCTGATAGCACTGACCCACTATGCGCTATCTATATGGTGGAATGTTAGAGCTAGGAAGCAAGGACAGTAAAGACAGGCAGGTCCTAGACATATCTCCAAGCCAACCCATATTACCCATGATAACGAGTGTGGTATTTAGGAAGGAGGTGGTGGCTAGCTTACTTGGCTGCAGTTTAGCAGCTGGGGGTTCGGTAGGAGGCGCCCGTATGTATAGCATACAATGCTTTTATACCAAGGCCACACCACTGTATGGTCCCTTCAATTTTTCCTTTTTGGACATCCTTTTGAACTGAACACAATTATGACCGAAGCTAACCCTTCCTCATCAACCGTCAACAGGACGTGTCGGTCCAGGACGTTGTTGGCTTCATTAACTCCTTGACGAACGATGTGGTCCAAGCGAAGTATGATACAAGTTGCCGCATCTACCAGGAGCTGGTGGAGGGACTTCGAAAGGTAAGAGTTGGTGCTGTAAGTATTCCTGAAGCAGCCTCGCTCCCTATTGCTAGCGAAACCTTCCAGTTACACCTGGGTTTATGGGCGTTGTGTATCGGGTATTTCACTGGTGAAAATGCACGTGCTTGATTCGCCCCATCCAGGTATGAACAGGTTTGCAATTTTGGCATCATGATGTTAATGAGTAGCATGTTACTACGCTGAGCTGGCCCCAAGCGGCAGCCCGTGAGCGGACCTAACACTCCTTGTGTCCTTGCTCGTACTGACACACTGTAAACACGGATGTACGGCAGCCTGTATGTAATATTGGCTGCATTATGTCTACCAGATGCGTTGCATTCCATATTGCAAGCAAGGAGCTTGTGTTGTCGTCAAGCCGGTATGCTGCTGCTGAACACTCATGGAGCCGCTGCATTGCTGATGCAGCCAGCTGGTCATCCTGCACTCTGGGAAAACGGAGCGTTCGTATTTTGGGGAGAATTCGTAATCTAGGCCAAACCATTCGTATTCTAGGCCATGTGGGCTTTACAAATGGTGTTCACACAGACATGCACCTAACCCTCTCACTGGGTGTATTTAAGTCCTATATTGTGTTAAAATCCACGCCCCACCTAAAGTGCACACATGTGCACACACGCACTCTGACTCCCTGTTTTCCGTATTCCATCTGGCACGATTCGTAAAATTGGGACACCCGTCCGTATCCTGGCACTGGCCCATAATACGGAGTATCCCCAGCCGAGAACAGGTGTAATGCAGGTATACGACGTGCTACAGGAGTCCTTATGAAATTGTTCTGACAGGTTTACGCAAATTTAGTACCATGCGGCATGGACAGGTGGTACCTTACATACACAACTCATCCAAAGTGTGCTCTGGGAAAAGCACGGAAGGACCCGTCACCCAATGGCAGGTCACTTCACGTTCCGCCACCACATCACCACACGACCAGCTGGTGCAGTGTTGGCAAAGGTCAAGCCCTCCTGCTACTGCTGCTAGTATGTACCGTGCTCGCTCTGCACTGTATGTGTTTCCTGCAATTGTTCTCAACCACTGTCCAGGCCGCTTTTTCCTACCTTTACCTGCTCTCCCTCCCCGTCCTCCTACCTCCCTCCTGCTGTCCCTAGGTGAACAATAGGGTGGTAACTGCACTTTTCGAGAATGCGCGCCAAGATCTGCTCGACGACATGGCAAGGCTCCCCCCCTTTGAGAACTTTGTCATGCTCATCGTGGACAAGCGGAATGACAACGTGGTGGGTGCGTAGATGGGTCGCAGTTCATGCAACAGTTGTTGGGGCAGCACAGTGGAAGCGGATAGGTGGCCATGCATGTGTTTTCTATGGTCATTGCGGGTAATAAGCGGACTATGAAAGGGGGCTGGGTGGTGGCTTCTAACCGCGCGGACAACAGGGTTATTTGGCTGCCGTGCATGCAATCCCAGACGGTCTCCCAATCCTCCCAAATTCGGTGAGGAGCGGTGAGGAACTACTCCAAGCCACCCATGCATGTAAAATACAACACTATGTCCATGTCGTGACCTGAAAACTTCTGATAGGCACAAGCATCGAGGAGCAAGCAAGTAACCCAACTTAGAGTGTACGGCATGAACTGAAGTGCGTAGGCTAACTGGTTGTTACTGGTTGTTAGAGGTTACGCATGTACGGGCCAGGCTCGTTACTTTCACAAGCGCTCGACTAGCATCCAAGCAGCACATAACCAGCATACCGGTAGTATCCTTCCCTCACGTTGACGTACAGGCGGTTGTCTCCAGAGGTCTTCCATCCCAGGGGTTTCCAGTCCGTGGTTCGGTTTGGTTGTCTTCCTGCCTTATCTCTGTAACATTACTTTTTTTATACATTCTTCACATAAACCAGCACCTAATCACTTTCGCACAGCCATCTACCCAAAACACCCCACGGCCCACGCATTCCAATGCTATATATATCAACGTTGTTCTTAAACACCACAGACACCACTGATACTTCCTACACCACTCCACCGTTAGATAGTTTTATGTACTATTATTGGCATTCTTTTACACCACCTGGATATCAATTACTTGTGACGCTATCATCCTCCGAGCTTTCTGTGGTCACGATCAGTTACAATACCCCCTTCATGCTTACATGTGCAGGACTTTACCAGTTCTGACCGTGAGCGGCTGCTGGTCATGTTGCGACCTACCATGGAGGTGGTGGTGGATGAGGGGCAGTCGGAGTGGGAGTCAGGCAATGGGCAGTCGGAGCCGGCATCAGACGAAGGGCAGTCGGAGTGGGAGTCAGGCAATGGGCAGTCGGAGCGGGAGTCAGGCAATGGGCAGTCGGAGCCGGCGTCAGACGAGGGGCAGTTGGAGCCGGCGTCAGACGAAGGGCAGTCGGAGTGGGAGTCAGGCAATGGGCAGTCGGAGCCGGCATCAGGCAATGGGCAGTCGGAGCCGGCATCAGACGAGGGGCAGTTGGAGCCGGCGTCAGACGAAGGGCAGTCGGAGCGGGAGTCAGGCAATGGGCAGTCGGAGCCGGCGTCAGACGAGGGGCAGTCGGAGCGGGCAACACACACGCTAGACGTGTCCCGGGTGCTCTGGGCAGCGGTGAAGGTGGGCAAGCATACAAGTGCAGAGGCCACGGTTCGCAGCATCACCAGCTGGGTAAAGAATCGCAGAGTGAGTAGGGCAGATAAGAACATCAAGTAAACCCGTAACTATGCTACGAGAAGGGGGGAGTGGGTGCGGATGTTGTGAACCTGATTCTGAATCTGGGTGAACCTGCTGAACAGCAAGGACCGCAGGGTAGGTGTTGGGATGTTGGAAAGAACACGTGGATCAGGATGGTGTTGGGTTGGCTTGCTTGGTTGATATCTTCCTGCCTTCCGTATTGCTAGCATTGTTCCTCCCTGCCCATATCACATACTGTACCCTTTGCGCACGCTTAGGATACCCTCTTGTCTTTACCCCTTTGACTGATTCGCTATCGTGTCTCACACACCCCAGGCAGTGTTCATCACGGGCATCAGCACGGAGCTGCTCAAGGAGCTGTCCAGGCGCTTCCCGCTGGCCTGTGCCAAGCTGTTAAACCTGGTGGGTGTGTACTGGTGCTGATCTCCTGATGAACCTGGTGTGGGTCTCAGGCGGTAAGCAGAACATCGAACTGCAAGGTTACCACCTCTGTAGTCATGTTTCAATTTTTAGGACGGGGGGGGGGGTAGGAAACGCGAGGACAGACCCCATGATTAAAGGAGCTTATCGATAGCATGCCAAACTTGCTTTCAGAATTTTATTTGGAGTTGTACGGAAAAAGTTATCTGCACCCAAAGGTGCTGCACCCCAAAGGTACTGCACCCCAAAGGTACTGCAGGGTGGGTGGGTCGGGTCTGTGGGTCCGGCGGGTTTTTTCCAAGGACTACCTGACTTTTTCCTGGCGTTGCGAAACTCACCATTAAGCATATATACGACCAACATACTGTAAGCTTTCTATAGCACCTATTTTTGTCTTATCCTAAGACGTTTTGGGCATGACGTGATGACACGACACAATGGTTGGCGACATGACTCCTTCAGGCTCTCCTCTCTATAAGGACCAACCGGGACGGGGGCGAGGGCGTGGGCGACGGCGGGGCCGTGCAGCCGCGTAAAGTCGCAATGAGCCGTGGCAATTGCTGGTATAGACTGGTTGTGGCGTACTAGTGCCCTTTACAATTGCAGTCGATAGGGTTTGAGGGTGCGACCTTGATGCACGGTGTGCAGTAGCTCAACAAATGATATAAATAGACAGAATACGCTGAGAGGAATCCATTTCTGGCTTTTTTTTAGCTTTTTTGGCGTATGACAACATGACAAAACATTGTTCTAAGTTCTGTAGGGTGGGTGGGTGGGTCCGAGAGGGGTCACCACCAAAAAATCATCATCCATGGGGGTTACCTTAAGTGTATACCCCCCTGTTTAGGACACCACCTTCTCCACCGTTCGAACAGTGCATACGTTTCCGTTTTCCGAGCCGGTCTGCTCCATGACTTCTCCATTCAGCGTTTTACACAAAGCAAACCACCTTGCCCTACCTCCACCTCGTACGCAATACTGAACTCTCCTCCTCCTCCCGCCTTTCCAATCCTATTGGTCCCATGCACGCATGAGCTGTAGCCTTCCTCACTTCCTTGCTCCTCGCTGCTCCGTCCTTCCTGTCCCGCAGGTAGGCCGCGAACATCTGGTACCACTGAAGGTGGACGATGATCTGCTGCAGCACAAGGACCAGCTGGTGAAGTGCAGCAGTGTTCGGAATCACTTCACATGGCGCGCGATGTTCATGGAATTCCTGGAGACAGAGGTATGATATTATTGTGCGTGACGTTCCATGGCAACAGGGTTGCACAACCCCGACCTACTGGGGCACCTTTTGGGCCTCCGCCTACCGCTGGTTGTATGGGTGCCTGGTACTCATGCTGGTCTCAACGTCGGTGTACCTTCTCCCCCCATGCTGAGGGTTCCACCTAAACCTCTACCTTTGTTGGTTTCCTTCCCTACTGGCCCTCATTGGATGTTTTTTTCTCTTGCTCCTCAGCACTTTTCCGAACACGTGGTGGACGCACTGGTGGACTACGGTGTTCCCTTCGAGTGCACCTACAAGGCGGCATTCTATGACAACGCCACGCGGGAGGATTTCGCGGCGCTGATCGAGGAGGGGTTCACGGGCGAGGAAATCCGGGTGCTCATCTCCGCTGACATCGAGCTGCGGGTGGTGGTGGACATCATCCACGAGTGCAAGCGTTACAAATGGGAACATGTGGGTTTCTCACACGGGGGGCCTCCTGTAGGCTGTAGGGTGCTTACTGGCGTTTCCGGCATGCATATTTCCTCTGATGTTGTCACAACTACATCCCGCTCCGTCACCCCACTGCGCAGCCACCTGACGACGTTGAGCAAGAGTCTATGGTGGACCCCATGGCGGATTTGATTCGGGACATGGTGCGGAACAGGTTGAGCTTCGATATTGTGCTGACCTTGTGGAGTAAGTGGGGTGGATGTGAAACCTGTACCGTACTGAGTAGGAGGGAGTGGAGAGTGGGGCAAGGGTGACTGTGACACAGCAGGGTAGAATGGGGCTGGGGACGCGAGTTGGTTTGGGTTCTTTTGTTAGGAAGCGAGGATTACACTGGAGGAAGAGCCCGTTAGTAGGAAGAGCGTGTACGGCAGAGCTCATAAACATTTGGCGACATTAAGGCGCCTGGCACGTGAAACGCGGGTGCATTGGGAACGGAAGCTGATCATCGATAATAAGGGCGAAACCGCAACGCGTGTCATGCTCCAGCGATGAAACATGCCAAATCATGACATGGGGTGGAACCTCAGGAGCGGGTTGACCAAACAACAATCCTATGCTTGAATTGTTGAATGGATGGTGCCGGCAAGGAGCACCAGGGATTAGTCAGCTGCCTGAGAATGAGGCCTTATGCTGACGCGAAGTGTGGCTGAGGGACACTCCGCACCGGGATGTGGTAGCCAAAGGCACCGCCCGGTAACCCCTATAGGATGTAGGCGATACTGTAAGCGGTGCGACGCGCCACGACGTCGCAGAGGCCCGAAGTAAGTAGGCGGCTGAGGCCCCACGCTCCGATTGCCGGCGCTGATACGGCTACTAAATAGCAGGCTGGTGTGCTAGATAGGTGCTACGCGATAGGGCTGGCCAAGCCGGCTATTGCGACGCAGCTGGTAGCGCTATGCACGGTCAGTATAGTAGGCTTTCGTTGGACTCTAACAACGATTACGGACTGTAAATGTTGCCGTGCGGTGTAGCACTGTGAGGCCCCGAGAAGCGCCGAACCAGGCGCTCTCGGGAACAAACAAGCCGGCCCAAGATCTACGACTCCAGGGAAGGCAACGAACTAACGACCAAATCGCGAGATACGGGCAAGCGCATCGCAAACACTGGCAAAGCAAGCGGATAACCAATAAACCGCTATACGTAAAGCAACCAATAAACACCGCAGGCGTCTCTTCTTCCAACTTCGGCAAGACAGTTGGACGGTTGGTCCTAGGAACACGACTTGCACACGACAGCTGTCATGCTCCAGCGATGAAACATGCCAAATCATGACATGGGGTGGAACCTTCCCCCCCCCGACCGAGGACCTCGACGACGCAAGGGCGGAACAACAGCCCAGGACACCCCAAGTCACACTGCTACCGGCAGCGGGTACGACAGTCAACTCCACAGGAAAATCCAAGGCTCGCACGTCTGGCCACTGAAACGCGCGCATACCACGCCGCACGGAAATCCACGCAGCAGTCCTCAGGTTCACGAAACCAGCTACCAAGCCAGCCATAGAGCCAGCACGAGCGGCACTCAGGCGGTCAGAGCCTAAGGTGCACCGACCCACGGGTCAACCGGCAAACCAAGCACAGCAAACCCACCCCCAATTCAGGCAGGCGGGCCACGAAAGCGGCAATAGTCAAGCCTCCGCCACAGAAAAGGCACCAGCAGCAGGCACGGCGAAGTACGCTGCCACCCAAAATCCAACCAAAAACCAGGCGTCCTGGCCTCACCCCCTTGTCTCACCTGACACAACTGAGAAAAGAGTCACAACGCCCAAAACAGGCATAACAGGCAACGCGGCTTGGCGTTCCTTCCCTAAGCAACTGACGAACTCGAAGCAAGACCGAGAGCACGCGGCTTGACGTACCCACTAGCCACTAGCCACCAAGATCCCTACACCAACCTTCTATAGCGGGCCACGCGGCTTGGCGCTCCCCCTTACTACCCCCAACAGCGGCGAGTCTGGCTGCGCTCCCTAGGATAACCCCTACTCCTCGCACTCGCGGTGCAGCGAGCCGGCAACGCCAACCTAACTTCCACAACCTAAGCAATATCCCCTTCTCGGCCGCGCGGCATGGCACGCCTTTTCCTAGCCCAAAACAACGCTACCTGCCCTTCTTCCTCGTACTCGTCTGCTCCGGCATCAGCATGCGCTTCGCCGCAGGCAGCCCGACCGCCTCAGCAAAGCCCCCGTCCCACTCGGCATAGAAGTAGTGGGGCCTCGCCAGACCGCCGCGGTAGCGCAGCACGCCGAGCTGCTCCTCGCGCCCGCGACCGCGCCCCTTGCTGACCATGCGTACGATGCGGCGTCCATCCAGAGCCGCCGCCTCGTCGTCACGCCGCCGCGTGGCGGCGTTCGGAAACAGCACAGCGGTGGGCTCCGGCTGGGGCGGCGCAGGCCCCGCCGGCGCCTCCCGCTGCAGCTGCACGCATTCCGGGCACACCCAGCTGCCCTCGGGGACTTGCGACAATGGTGGCACGAGGCAGTACAGGTGCCAACCGGTACCGCAGGCGTCGCACAGCAGCATCTTGCCGCCGTCACGAGGCGAGGCACAGACCTGGCAGGCGTGGTCCGCTGCCGGGCGCATGAGCCGCGGGTCGACGATAGGGTCCAAGTCTGGCAGATGGCAGGGCACAAGCTGCTCCACCCGGCGCCTGATGCGCGTGCCGTCACGTCCTATGAGCACCGCCACGCCCAAGGGACCCACCGATTCCACTCGCAAGACGGCCTCGCGCACCGGCGGCTGCAGCGTGTTGCTGGGGTTTTGCCGCCGGACATAGACATAGTCGCCCGTAGCAAACTGCAGCTGCGGGGGGCGCCACAGCCCTGAGCGCACGAGCGCGTACCGCCTGGTGTCTCTGTGCTGCGCTATGAGCAGGTTGCCGGCAGCGGCCGGCGCGTGCCGCTGCAGCAGCGCTGCCCTCTCCACCAAGGCCCGCGCGTAGACCTGCTCACCGGCATTCCCAGTGAAGGCCAGCTCCGCCTGGAAGCGCTCTCGTACCGCCGGTGGCACGACTGGCGGCACGCCGTACATGAGGGTGTACGGGGCAAGCTTGGTGGAGGCCTGCGGTGAACAGCGATAGGCGAGAGCCAACCACGGCAAGTGCTGATCCCATGTTTCAGGACTGCCGCTCTCAGCACAGTACTTGCGCAGGGCTGACTTGAGCACCTGCACCAGCCGCTCCGCTGCACCGTTGGCTTGCGGGTGATACGCAGACGTCGGCCGATGGTCCACGTAACACTGCTCAAGAAGGCGGCTGAAGGCCCCCTCGAACTCCCCCCCCTGATCCGTCACTACTTCCGCCGGCGCGCTGAACCTGGCGATGACCTCCAACAAGCCCCTGGCCGTCTCGTCCGCCGTCTTATCCCGCAACGGCAGAAACTCCGCATGCTTGGTGAAGTGTTCTACGCACACCATCACGTAGGTGAAGCCGTGCGGCTTGGTAGG